TATCACCCAATACAAGTCCATGTTTCAGCCTAAATTCTAAGGCATAATTCCTCAATTAGTCCTGGCTCTGATTTCAGTATAGCAGTCAAATCCAAATCATTCAGCAAAGTTTGCCTCCGGGCAGTTTATGTGAGTTTCTCCTTCAAGCATCCAGAAAGAACTGAAAAATCTTTAACTGTGGCCAACATAAATGCAGGAAACCTCAAGTCACACCTAGGCATAGTTTCTCCACAGCAATGCCAGTTTCTCCACCACCATCACTAGCCTCTCACGACTATGGTTTTGCTCTCACCAGGGTCTTGTTCAAGTCTCCCTCAAGTCTTCTTGCCACAAGTCTTATTCAACTCAAATCTTGCTAGCCAGTGTGGGAAGCACTCTTTCTTATTCTACTCTCATAGTTGATGTTCTGTAAGGCCATGCTGATTTTTAAGACCATGTATCTGCAGTTAAGGCAGATGGAAACCAGAAAGGGCTAACTGTAATGGCTTTAAAAAAAAAGCCAACTTTTAGGCTAACAATACAATGCAGAAAAGTCATTAGACAAAATTCAACATCAAGATAAAAATGCTCAACAAAATGAGGCTAGAAAGAAAATTTCTCAGCACTGTTAAAAGCACATATATAAAATCAACAGTCTGAAAATATATATTCATTCCCCTTGCAAATGGGAACCAAACAAGGATGCCTTTTATTACCATTCATATTCAATATTATACTGAAATCCATTCAATATTACACTGACGTCCTAGCCAGAACAATAGGGGAAAAAAAGAAAGAAAGCCACCAAAACTGGCAAAAAGGAAGTAAAACTACCTTTATTTTCAGATTATATGATTTTTATATATATTTTTAAAATCCCCAAAACAAAGTATAAAAAAAAAAAGCTGGATCTTAATTGATCAATTCAGCAAAATGGTAGGGTCCAAGATCAAAATATAAATCAGATTCCTCTATAGTTATGAAAAATATCGGGAAGGTACACAATGCCATTTATAAGTGTCACCCTAAGAAGGAAATGCTTAAGAGTAACTCTAACCAGAGATACAAAAAACCTATATAAAGAAATAAAGCACAACTACAAGAAATTTAGATAATGGGATAATATGCCATGTTTAACAGACAGAAAACTTAACATCAAGAAAGTATCAGTATACCAAAAGTGATACAAATAGGTCCTAATTAAAATCCTATCATTATTCTTCAAAGAGATGGAAAAGTATTTACCAGCTTTATATAAAAGAGATTCTGAGTAAGTAAAGCACTATTTCTTAAACAAAGGAGGAGGCATCATACTTCTGAACTCAAAACTACTTATACTGACACAGTAATCAAAATAGTCCAGTATTGGTATAGCAACAGTTACACGGCACAGGAAAGGAAGCCCTGGATGAAATGGAGTGAAACAGTAACCAGGTAATGGGGGTAGGTGAGACTGGCTCAAGATACTGTACATAGGATGTTAAGAGTCACAGAAACTTGATGGCACAAAACAAAACCAACAAAAAGTATCATTCTTGTTACTGCTATATGGATGATAGTTACAGGGACCAAGGGAATAAAACTGAAACAAGTAAAAGAAAGAGAAAGCACAGAGATGTATGGAAGGATTGTTCAAACTCAAGTCAGGTGAGGAAATGCAAAAAGTACAATTACAAAAAAAGAAAAAGTGCAATTACATTGTGGGTACTAAAATTAATGCTATAGAACAAAATATGTATGAATAGTGAATGAAAAATTAATTTGTTTTATAAACTTTCATTCAATTCACAACATAAATAAATAAAATTATGTGTCTCCATGATCTCACCTAGAAAGACCATACAGAAAGATAAGAAAACAAAGCCCAGACCTATTCCCTGGAAGTTGTGTTTACAAGAGGCCCGTGACGCTAGGGACATCACAGCCAATGTCAGACGGATCTTGGCTGAAAGTAGAGAGTATCATAAGGATGTCTGTTTGTGTTTTATTGACTAGGCAGAGACATCTGACTGAGTGGATCACAACAAACTGTAGCTATCATTGAGAAAAATGGGAATCCCATAACACTTGAGTGTGCTCACTCAAAAACTATTCGTAGACAAAGAAGCTGTTGTTCAAATAAAGCAAGGGATGATGACTTCAGGGTTCAAAATACAAAACCAAGTATATCAGAGATGTGTCCTTTCTCCATACCTTTCCAATCTATATATGGAACAGATCATCTGGGAGGCTGGATGTTATGATGTAGCATCAGGACTGGAGGAAGACTCATCAACAACCTGCCTTATGCAGATGACACACCTTACTCATCGAATCTGAGGAGAACTTGAAGTGTTAGTGCAGAAGGTCAAGGATGGCAGTCTTCAATATGGATTGTATCTCAACATCAAGAAAAAGATTCTCACCACTGGACCAACTGGCAGGCATCATGATAGATGGAGAAAAGAATGAGGTTCTCAATTTTATGTGGATCGGATCATAAGCAACACTCTTGGCCCCAGCAGTCAGGAAATCAAAAGACGAATTGCATTTGGTAAAATGCTGTCAGGTACCTCTTAGGTCAAAGTGCTCTTAGGGCAATGAATGATGTCAGTCTGGAGCCTAAGTTGTGCCTTATCTAAGCCATGGTCTTTGCAATAATTTGCTATGTATCAGAGAGCTGGACAATGACTAAGGATGACAGAAGAAGAATCAATGTCTTTTGAGTTGTGGTGCTGAGGAAGAGTAGTAAACATACCATGGACTGCCAAGAGAACAAACAGGTCTGTCCTGGAGAGGGTGAAACCAAGTTGCTTCTTAGAGGCAAAGATTTTGAAGCTCTGTTTCACATGCTTTAGGCATGCTGCCAGGAGGGAACCAGTCAGTCGATGCTTGGAAAGGTACACAGAGCAGGAGAGGAAGACCCTGGACAACATGGAATGACACACGGACTCTGGCAATGGGGGCAGGTGTGTCAGAAACAGTGAGATTGGTTCAAGATAAATTAGGGTTCAGAGCTACTGTTCACAAGGTCACTATGAATTATAGTTGATGGCATATAAAACAACATTCCCTGTTCAGGAGATCTGTGGTTAGTGATTAAGGGTTGTGAAAAGGCACACCATGCAAATCCACTAGCTGCTCCACAGAAGAAAGATAAACAATCTCCTCCTCTGTGATTTGCTGCTTCTGAAAATTCACTGAAGGTTCTGACCCAACAGTATAGAACAACAATTCTTGCTCAAAGAAAACTAATAACTGGAATGCAGGGAAAAGGTATTTTTTGATGGGTGCTAAAGTATCAACGAACAATGAAAAACTATTGTGAAAGTACTAGATTGTTTTCTAGGGGGGGAAATTTATCTATATTAAAGAGATAACAGCTTTTCTAATAATTCATACTGTGGAATAAACTTTTATGTGCAATAAGGACAGAAATAATTAAATATGATAAGATGACAATAAAATGAGATACAATCTAACTTATTTTGGAAAAGTTCTAGTTACATGAGAAATGCTCACTAATATTCAGAGTTTAATACATAATATAAAAATAAATTAAGGATGACTCCAAATCTTTCTTTGTGGCCATCAATTCTTCTAAATAACTATCTAATCTTCTGCATTGCTAATCACTTACATTTACATGTATAAATGCAGGAATATACAAAGAAAAATGTTCAAAATAGAAATAATTCTTATAATAACTCCTATAATCTTACAGATATTTTGGTTTTCTTCTTTGTATCTTCTAGTAGTCTTAAAATTATTTATGAATTTTTAATAATGGGGGAAGCAATGCATTAATTTCTAAGTAAACAGTTATTTTTTCTGTTTTACTTCAAGCTCCTCTGCCATGTCATACATTTGTTAATGAGATTATGGATTTAGAATATAAAACACAAACACTATCAATGCTTCTTCATGTGTCCCACTGTCTCTTGACTGTATCTTACATGATGTCCCCAAATACATGTGTTCTTTCCTTATACCTATGAGTAAAAGAAAGAGTACCCATATATTTCGCTGGTGCTTTTTTGCCCCCATTAAAAATTTTTGTTGACTTTTTATTAACTGCAAAAAGCCCTTGTCTTCTTATTGTGAAATATGTTAATTAGAAATTCTAACATGTGTACACCAAGGTATCAGTATGCAATTATAATCCATATCAACTTTGCAGCATCAGCTGGTTATTTCCACACAAATAAAAACTGTTTACTACACAGTATAATTATCAAAATGCAGAAAATTCATAAAACAAGAATCTACTTCCACTAACAATCCTGTATTTTTATAAACATGTCTACTTAATATGGTAATACATTTTACCTAATATAAATGCAAATAATACAGTTTTGTATTAAAAGCGCTGGTTACTAGGTGGCAGAGGAGTTCCAAGATTCTCAATCTCACTTTTAGATCGGGTGGGCTGCAAGTTTTAATACACGTAAGGAATGGTTATTCATTACATCCTATGTGGCCAGGTGGCCCCAGAAATGGCCTAAACTGGCCTCTACTTAGCTATTGATAAGAAAGATCTACAGCTGAGAGTAATTATATTCTTAACACTTTACCTAGAGAACTTAAGTGACTTTGCTAATATTTAAATTTCTTAAATAATCTTCTACTGCTTAAGAACTGCAAAAAAATGTTTTTAAAACCAGAAAAATTAAGTTAAATAAACTTATATATCAAATCAAATTCATTTCTGTGGAGTCAATTCCAACATACAGAGATCCTATAGTACAACACAGTAGAGTCGAGTAGAATTGCCTTATATGGTGATCATTTTTTAAAGTACGTTTTATTTAGCATGGTTGCTGTTCTCCCCTCTAATTCTCCTGTGTCTAATAAAAAGTCATTATACAGAGAATTTCTATGATTATTCATGGATTGGTTTGCATATAGACAACTATGATAAGAGTACATGGAACTATATACAATTTAGTAAAATCACATTTAATATAACCTGAATATTAAACTTCACTTGTAAGACCGACTTTCCCGCTTAATTTGTGCTTATTATAAATATAAATATCTACCTTTTCATCATTGGTAGTAGACTCTGGGTGAGGTAAAGGACTATCCTGATGAGTTGTTTCTACAACAGAGGGTTCCTCAATTTTACTTCTTATGATGGGTGTTGCAAGAGGGGACAAATCTAGAGGCATCTAAAAGACAAATATTAATATTACAAGTTCAAAAATAACCAATCAGTATATCAAAAATAGAAAGCAAGAAAGTAAAATAATCATTACTGTCAAAAATATTTTGTTTATTTTTGTCTTATAGTTATTAACATACTTTTTTAATGTCATCTTCTGAGGCTTTCTTGAATTCATTCTCAAATGGACTTGCCAACTCATTAAACAAACCTACTTCTTCACAGTTTTTCAAAAACCTTGTTGGTGTTGGGGTCTGATCTGAAATAAATGCCAAAACAGTCATCATATAGATCACACAAGACTATAAAATAGCTAGTAAGTTAACAAATAAGTAGAATTGGCTCAATCAGTTGTTAATTTTCTCTTTTGAAAGACCAATTCCTTTAAAGTAAATAAAATTTCATTATATTTTGTTGAAGTCCAAGATATTTTCATCAACTTTCTGAACTATAAAAGTATGAAAGAGGTTCTTCTTGTCTTTAGTCCATTTCTTCTGAATAGAAGCATAAGCACCCTTAGTAAAGGTTTAACAATTACTATTATCTATCAAGATAATATCTTTTAAAATGCACAGTATTAAAAATTATGATTGTTTTAAAATGCATGCAATTAGAGGGAAACTGGGACAAGAGCACTGATGTTCTCTCTAATTTGGCCCTTCCAAGTAGTTTTCCTATTCTATAATGAAGTAAATTTAGAGTAAAACAGAAGTATTTAGTAGGTAAATCAAAATATGACAAGAAAGAAAAAGAAAGTCTAAAAGAACAGTCCCTAAGATAAAAACAAAACCCCCTTTAGCACCATCTTTGAAGGTAGTTTTCAAATTTAATATCTTTTATAAGCTTGGTAAAGGCTATGTAAGAGTCACATGACCAAATAGTGTGATTTCTTTTTATTAATTCTAAATTAATTTCTAAGCAGCAGAATATCAATTCTTTTTCACAGCTTGAAACATCTTACAACAGCTGAACATTCACTCATAATATGTGCATTAATATATGTGCTGTGTGTACACGTGCACATGCATGGACTATGGACCAGATGCTAATTATGCTCACAATGATTGAAAAATGGCAAATTTACTAATATTTTTCTCTTTAAGTCTTACTGGATTACAGCTATCGATCAAAGTTAGCAGCAAATTCAAGTTTTAATTACTTTTTGAAATACTATTTTTGTCATCACTTTTACATATTAGTTTTCTAAATTTAAGCTGAATAAACCATACTTTAGAAGAAAGGTGCCTTGTTTAAGATAAAACACTCACAAAATCTTCTGTGAAATGAAAATTTCTGTACTTGTTAAAACTGTGTCCCCAATGGCAGCAATTACCTATTGTTTTATCTTTGCTTTCTCTAGATGTACACCTAGAGCACTAATATGTACTGTATGCAAATATATTTAACACTTTATTACATACTCGCCATATACATTATACATAATGCAGGTTAAACTCTGAAAATGTTAGTATTATAATAATTATTGACAGGATTCGACTGTGTCATCATTTCACCTATTAATCTATGATGTACCACCTCTACCAAAAATACTATCCAAAATCCTATTACAGCAATGGCCTGGTGTACATCTACCTGCTTAAGTCCATTATAACTGGATTAGTAAATAGCACATAATTTGACTCTTCTGTTCATACCTAAGAGTCCAGTGGCACAGTGTTTTAAGTAGGCAGCTGCTAACTAAAAGGCTGGTAATGAACCATTGTGTGGCTACACAAGAGAGAGAAGTAGCAGTCAGCTTACATAAAAGTTTGTACAGTCTTAGAGACTTGACAGTGTTATTCTACCCTGTCCTATAGGGTCATGATGAGTTGGAATAAATTAAACCACTGCAGGTTGTGCAAACCCACAAAGTTTTGCTATCAAAGTTCACTAGAAGGGTCTTGTAATAAAGAGAAAAGAATCTTTAAAATAAAAATAAGTTTTGTCATTGTTTTAAAAAATTAACATTAGAGATTTGACAACCATGGCCTTCCCTGAAGTATTTTCATAAGCATACTTTTTTATTTGCATAAAAATATAGCAATCACATTTACCAATGATTACTGGACTCATGAGGCAGGAGAAGAGAAGGGTCAACAAAGGCACACTATTTTAACATGCAAATTGCTTATGGCTATTAGTCATAAAACATCATACTTAAAATTAATGTAATAATGCCACATTATGGATCTCAACACATATTAGTGAACCATATGATCAAGGGTTGTATAAAAAAATTCCAATTTTTTTTATTGTATTAAATGTGGTAAGAGAGGAAACCCGTTTTCAGAAATCAAGTTCAAACATTTCTCAAGTTAAAAGTTAAAGAAAGTAAAAAAAGGTTCTAAGGCACCAACTTTCAGAAAAGCAAAGATCCTCAAGCCTAGAAGAGTGAATTTTTCAGGTTGCTATTTTGCTTGTCTACTTTTTGGAAAAAACTTCTAGCTTAGAAGAGCTGATACACAGTATTATTTTTTTTCAAAAGTATATACTCTGCTTTTTACTAGCTTTCTTTTATTAACTTTATTTTTTCCTCTTATGTTTTAATTTCAAATTCTCCACACAGAAAGTACAAGAAGAAACACCTAAAATTTGCCTCATTATCTCTCCAAAGCACAGCATATGACAATCAGATCTCTATCTTAGGTAATCATTTAAAGTATTAGTAGTATTCAGTGTTCAGATATAATTCTGCCTTAAAAAGAATATTTTGAAAGTCTAAGCCTTAAAAGATAAAAGAAGAAGAAAGTATTACTTTAAAATTTATGATTTGTGAATCTGTGGCTTGGATACCAAAAGGTTCTATTTTCTTATCCTGATACTTATTAATAAAATATTTAAGTATAGTGGAATGAAACAGAGTATGTGTATAAAAATAGGTATGTGTTTGTATATTTAGATACCAAAAAGAACAGCATCAAAAGACAATAAACCAATATATGAATTTTCATGTACTGTGGAAGATTTGCTTAGATGATAGTATATATTAAAAGGGTCAATATTTTATTACAAAAGCAATGACCAAAATACAGACTTCTCAGCTAAATGCAAACTATGGAAGTATAGGAATATTCTCAAGGTTCTAATTAACAAATACAAAATTGGCATTGAAATATGTATTTTCAAACTATTCAAAAAATGGAGTGGTCAGAAGGAAACAAAAAAATGGGCAAAATAGATGTCAACATTTAATGAAAATGAAGTCACTGAAACATCACTAGGCTATATTAATTTATAGAGACTACACAAAAATTGTGCACAATTCAGGTGAAATATGTATATAAACTATTAATAAAAGCATATACTAACCAGCCACAATGACACTGTCATTACGTGCTGGACCAAATTTCAGTGTCATCTCATGTTTATGTTTATGGACAGCCAAATGATCCTCGTTGGTAAAACGCTGTGGCAAAAAGTTTTAAAATACAGTTAAGATTTTCAATTTGATCAAATTAAGTAAAATGATAAGGAATTTAATTTTCCACAACATGTAAAACAACCATTAACAGTGAAATATGAGTTTGTTAACTATAAGATAATCTACTATTGTCAGAAGAGATAAACACATTACTTTTAAATAATCACAGAGACATCTATTACCCAAGTGTAAGTGTAACTCATTGAAGTATATCTGAAAACAAAAAAAGCCTGAAGCAAAGAAATGTTTTCAATTTCATTTGGACACTGAAGACAGACCACTAATAATTTTGTCTTTTCATAAAATACATATTCCGTGATACACTGATTTTTAAAGAAAGAACTGTATTTATCTAAACTTAAAAGTTACTTACCATTTTTATGAGAATTTTTAAACTTACATTACTCCTGAACAAATTAAGAAATAAACTATGCTTTTTATGTTACCATATTTTATTTTTAAAAAGATTAATAAAAAAAGATTAATCAGGGAAGAAAGAACAGCCAAACAGTAATAAAGCAATTTAAACTAAAATTATATTTACTCTTAAATGTTTAACCTAAAACAGTTAGCTGTATTTTATGATTCAATTTTACTATGGTACTTATATAAAAGTAAAGCAAATGCATTTTCAAAGTATCCATCACATTTTTTCTACACTTAACTTGGCTAGGTCTTATATGCCAATGACAACATTCATGACTGTATTTGTTTAAATATCTCCTATATCTGAATTATGGTGACTGCAGCAATGGGCTCAAGTATATCAGAGATGATACGGACGGCACAGATTGGACAGGGTTCAAGTCTATTGTTCATAAGGTCCCTATGAGTCACAGTCACTGGCACCTAACAACAACGTCTGAATACCAAACTTCATGAAGGAATATCTTACAACTGAAAATGGGGAATTTTTACCTTCTGTTCCTCTACAACAACAATTTTTAAATGGTAACTTAAGATCTCTAAACTCATTCTGTAGCCTATAATCCTATAAATTGAAATATTTAAAATACATATTTTTAACTTGGTTCCCACACACTACTAAAAGTAATTTCCTCTCTTGTCATTCCTTCTCTCTCTAGCCAACTCGTGCAACTAATGGTAGCATTAAAACAATGTGAGACAATATTTCATTCTGCTTTTTAATTTAAATTTTTTTTTATTTTATTATTTTTGTCTGAGTGTACCGTCAAATCAGATCTGACTGGTACAGGAGGAGATTGTCCCTCCTTCCCCAGCAGAGCATCTGGTGGATTTGAACTGTGTGCCTCTGGGATTGTAGTTGCAGCTCCTTGCCACTGGGCCACCAGAGCTCCCCTTAAATTTTTTTTAAGGTATGATTTTTTAATAGCTATATTATTCTTGGAGTTCCTGAATGGTAAAAGCAGTCAGGTTTTAAATGAAAGGTTGGAAGATAGAAGCAACCCAGATACACTTGGGAAAAAATTGATTAATAGTTTAATTCTGAAAAATAAACCACTGCGAACAGTTAGCTCCACTCTAACATGCTGTCAGGAGTTAAAAATCAACTGAGGGGAAAATTCACTCTTTAGTCTCTCATCTGTAATCCATTTAACTCTGTATCTCTCTCTTATTGCTGTATCTCTCTCTTATTGCTGTAAAGCCAGAACCAACTCATAGCTGACCCTCTGGGGTTTTCAGGGACTGTAAATCACACAGGAGACTGCCCATATTCTCTTGTAGAGCTGCTGGTGGATTCAAACTGTCCAGAAGGTGCTGCCTTGAGTTAGCTGCCAAACTCCCCATGGACTACCACCAGGGTTTCTTAAATTTAAAAAAAAAATCAATACTGTTTAAATAGTATGTTGTTATGTGCTGTTGAGTAGCCTGCACCTCATAGCGACCCTAAGTTCAACCGCCCTATACTCTGACCTATCCTGTGCCATTCTCACCGTCTCTGACACACCTACGCCCATTACCCCAGTCACTGAATCAATCCATCTCATTGAGGGTCCTCCTCTCCTGCGCTGTCCCTTCACCCTAACAAGCATGACGTCCCTCTCCAAGGACTGGTCTCTCCTTGCAACATATCCAAAGTGTGTCAGACGAAGTTTCAGAATAGTATAAGGTTATTAATTTTTATATATCTGTCCTTTTAAATAGAGTGAATATCTACTGTTGTTTTGTACTGTAGATTCAGAACCGACCCATAGCTGACCCCTCAAGTGGGTTTTCAGAGGTGGCGTTAACGTCACAAGAGGAAATTGCTCATCCTTTTCCTGTGGAGCAGGCTGGCAGGCTCAAACCGTGTGCCTTCGGGATTGCAGCACAGCTTCTTGCCACTAGGCCACCCGAATTCCCAATAAATTTAAGATACAGCAAGTATTCAATAGTGTACAGCTCTGGAGGAAGTTCCTTGTCTCTGAGCTTCTGCTCCTGGACAGATATCCCTTAGCTTGGCATCCCTGCTCTTTCAAATTGAGGTATGCTTTGTCTTGCATTCTTTGGCCACGTTGCTAGGAGAAGTTATTCTTTGGACAAGGACATAATGCTTGGAAAGGTGGGGGGACAGAGAAGGAGAGGAAGATCCTCAACCAGGTAGAATGACACAGTGCCTACTGCAATGGGGTTGGGTACGTCAGAAACTATAAGGTTGGCACAAGATAGGCGAGGGTTTAGATCTTTTGTTCACAGGGTTGCTATGAGTTGTACCCGACAGCACATAACAATAGCAACAATATTCAATAAATGTTAATCAAAAGAACATATATTAAAAATATTATGTAGGATCCACTGAATAAATTTATCTAAATGTTGTTTATATAGGGACTGCTGACCATACAAAATAGTAGTATCTACATACATGGACAGCAACACTTCTTAATGAATACAAATTACACCGAAGTTAAGATTTGACACAGAAGAATTTTTCTTCATTATACAAAAAATTAATTAAAAAAAAAATCTTAAAAGATGTTGTCAGGAACACGGTTTGAATAAGCCAGATGCTCTGCTGGAGAAGGAGGGACAATCTCCTC